CCTTCTCCCCTACCCACCCCTTTTCTCTCTCCATCTGCTGCCCTGCTCTTCTCTAAGTCTCTCATCCACCTCAGCCCCCACCTGTGCTTGGGCCACCCCACCCAGCTCCTTGTGTACCTTACTCTCCTCCCTTAGTGGCTACTCTTCATCCGGGTGGGTGTCTGGGGCTGCAGCAGCAGCTCTGGGGGTCAGAAGGAGGTTACAGGGCTTGCCTGAAGGGGAGCTGCCTCTCTTGCTTTCCTCCATTATCAGTGCTGCAACCCTCACTCTGATAGGGATACAGGTCCATTCTAGCACTGGCTGAGCTGCAGGGGAGGGCAGGAGACTGGGAGGCCTCTGCTGCCTGCCCATCCAAAGGTGGTTGTATGGTGCCACCAGGGTTGGGTGCCAGTGAAGGGCACTTATCAGCCTGGGGGTAGCCTGTTTGCAGGAGGGGGTATGGGGCTTCTAATTTTCCAGAAGAGACAAGGCAGAGGGAGAACCTCCCCAGGTATGTGGGAACACCTGAGCTCTTGCAGGCCCAACTTAATACTGAAAATTCTAAGGCAAGCAGAAAAGCCACAGCTTCCTGGGATAAGCAGACAGGTTGCAGAGCTGTGATATCAGAAGAGCACTTGAGGAGGAGTCAGGGCCTCTTGATTGGTCCATCTTGGTCACTGCTAGCCTGGCAGTGTCTGGTGGGTAGGGATGTGCTTGGTTACCTTTGTATTGCAGAGCTGTGCGTGGTTGAATAAATGAATGACTATTCTCACATGGATTTCACTTCACTGGTTAATTTGTTCCCTCACCAAACTGAGCCCCTGAAAAGCAGCAACTCCTATGTCATTCAACATAGGCCAGCATCCAGGAGGGCATCTTCCTGCCTCTGCCTCACAGCTGACTGAATACAGGACTCTCCTTCCCTGCCAAGGGCCTCCAGGGAGGGGCTCAGACCCAAATGTGTCCATGAGCTTCTTCTGTGAAATCTCGGACCTCTTTGAGGCCACTCTGCCGCCCATTCTTTCCACCTCTTCTAGGCACAAGCATCATCTCTGAGAGGCAGGCAGGTTTTGCAGAAAAGCACTGAGTCCTGGGTAGGCTGCTCATGGTGTCAACTAATTTGCTTCACTCTGTCGACCTTCATCTGTAAAATGAGGATAGTAATAGCACTTTCTGTAGCAACTTTGTGGATCAAGGAGACCAATGAACACAGAAAGTTTCTCATTTTTGACAGGAAAGTAGAGGGGCTGGATCAGCAGAGAAGCAGAACAGGATTTCTTTCAGCTGGGCCCCGAGTGGGGCAATGAAAACAAATCTCGATCTGCCCTGTTCTGAAGTAGACCTAACCCTGTGTACCCCGTTTCCCTTTCCCTTTCTCACTCAGTTGATTACTGAGGAGACAAAAGTGAGACAAAAAGACATTCCAATCTCAAGCACTCACCAGTTTATGTCCCTCCCCCACACCCCTACACCTGTTTATGTTTCTCTCTGAGGAATGGGAATAAAACAGAAGACTGTCTTAAGGACACACTGGAACAAAGGGTCCCGCCCCTGCAGATGAATCTGTTCAAGGCTGACCTCTGTCCCTGCAGACAGGAGTCCTCCTATCCTCTCCACTCTCTGGCAGCCTGGCAGGACTCCAGGTCAGAGGCCACTGATTTCCAACTTCACTGCCCTGACTCTTTGGGACCCAAACTATACAGCTTGGGCCTGAAGCCACCTGACAAAACTCAGACAAGGGACAGAGAGGTCTTTGGTTGTTGCTTAGCCCCAAGCCTTCACTTCCAAAGCTTTGGGTTTCCTCTGTATTGTCTGCCTAATCTGGTCCCCAGATCCTAGAGCTGCTGGAGCCAGAAGGGGTGGGGCTCCCCTCCCCCTCTGCCCACACCATCAGTCTGGGATCCTGGCTGCCTGAGGGAGGCTCATCTGCTTTCTGGGAATGCTTTGATCTTTGCTCTTTCTTCTGGGAGGCTGAGCCCCTAGTCTGTCTGAACACCCCTCTTTCTGATTGTCAAACTCTCAAGTCTTCAGACTGAGTGCTGGCCCCTGGCTCCCATTCTGCACGCCTGATTCTGGGGTGGCTGGGTGGGATAAATTCAGACCTCTCACCTCTCACCCACTCTGAGCTTCACTTCTCTTCACAGTATCTACCTCCTCTGAGCCAGAGGGAAGAAGTGGATGTGAAGACACAAAGTCTCCAAGCACAGTGATCATCACAGGGAATAACTTTCCTCAGGCATCTGGGTCATTGTGTGCACAGCATTAAATCCTCACAGTCCTGTATGCTGGAAACTGAAGCGCAGAGACTCTGGACGCTGCCCAGCATTTCACAGGCAGCAAAGTGGCAGGACTGGGACTGTAGACGAGAGCACCATCCAGTGTGAGTCTCTCTCCTTCAGGGAGTTGGCCCAGCTCACAACAGGGGACTGGGGTTCCTATTGGGTTTGTGCTCATTTATTATTTTCTGCAGGACAAAGAGTACTAATGAGTCTGAGTCCTAGAAAGGGTGCAAGAAGGGGACAGCCCAGCAAGGGAGGGTTACAACTCAAGGAGTCCTGGCAACTAGGAGGCAGAAACACCCTCAGGGGTTGGTTCTCTACTGCTTTAGCTCCTATTTTCCTTGCCCACATCATATTTGAGAAAATGAAAACTATGAATATGTCCTGTGGTTCCCTGAGGGAAGCAAGCTTTGGAGGAGGGAGGGAGCACAGCTGTGGAGAGGGCTGGACAGTGTAGAAGCTGTGTTGGAACACGGATGGGCAGGGCCAGCTCCTCTGCCAGGGACCCTCCTCCTCTGGGCCTGGAAGCCACACCACAGATGCTGGGTCACTCTCTCCTTATGTTCCAAACCTGCGTCTTTTTATTTCAGTGGCCAAATGTCCTTCGTGTTTCCTGTTAGGTATCCAATACTTTGCAAGATCTGTAGGCTCCAGTCAACATCCTAGACACTGGAATAAAGGGAGATGAAGTGAACCCTACGCTGTCCTCTGAAAAGTCAGAGTAGGCTGCAGAGGCAGCACAGTGTGGGCAAGGCTGTGAGAGGCAAACAGCACTGAGACAGGACACAGGAGTGTCCTGTGCTGTCAGGAAAGGGTCCTGGAGCTGGAGACATCTGGATTAAACTCTGAAGAAGTTAGCACTGGCCAACTGAAGCACAGGAAGAAGGATGGTTGGCCAGAGAAGGACAAACAGGACCAGCGTTCCACAGGCAGAGGGGCCTGGCAGCAGAGTACTGGGCTTTACCATCATGCCAGTTAACTTTTGTGAGACTCTAGTGGTCCCCTCAGTAGAATGGGGATGAGCAAGGCTGGGTAGGTAGCTTGGCAGCATAAGCACCCCCCGGGCAAGTGCAAGGACCCAAGTTCTATCCCTGGTACCAACAAAAAGGGGTGGTGGTGGGGGGGAGGGATGAGCAGCGCTGACCTCTGAGTGGTCACCAGGACTGAGGAGTACATAGAAGGTGCTCAGTACTTCAGGTACAGCAGGGTAGGGTAGGAGGGTGCACATGCATCTTTGGGGAACAAGGCCTAAAGACTATCAGGGAACACCTGGGGAGCCACTGAAGGCTCTATTGCCCACTTACCACGAAGGACCAGATATTTTCCTAGTCTCTTTCCTCACTTCTTTCCTGCATGCTCACCATCACTTCCTCCCCTTTGCTCAAATCTGAATGTTCATATTCTAATTCTAAGCGCTGACTGTCCAGCTCTGTCTGGCAGAGCCTGTTGCCTGGGATCCTGATCTCAAAACAAGGTCCAAGCTCCTCCCTTTGCCTTCCTCAGTGAGGGGGCAATGCAGGAGGCTCTGCTGGAGGGGTTCGCACAAGGACATCCTTGCCTCCTGACCAGCCCACCAGCGGGCCTATCACCTTACTCTTACTACCTACACAGGCCAAAGTCCTCTTGAGTATTTGACAGGGTAGCTTCTCAGTGCTGTGGCTTGCCATGTTCCATACTGGGTAGCCACTGCTAGCAGAATAAAATACAAACTCTTAATAGGCTTCTTCTACAACCCTTAACATATCTGCCTCTCCCTTCACATCCCTTGCCACTCAACTATATCCTTCTGGAACAGCTAACACTGGCATGTCGGGACATTCAGAACACTTGGTGGGTCTCCCATAGGGAGGCAGAGATGGCTGTTTGGTAGCACCTTCCTTTAAGTGTGTTACACCAACAGGACTGCAAGCTTGAGTCCACTTTGAACTACAGTACTTTAGACTCTGTCTCAAATAAAACAAAAAGGGCTTAGAATGTACCTCAGTGCAAAGGCCCTGGGCTCAATCCCCAGTATTGTGGGGTGGGGACATTCTCCTCCCTCTCCCTGGATTTCTGTCTTTCACTGGGAAACAGAATTAAGAACACTCAACCTCAAAATCCTTTCTTTCTTTCTTTCTTTCTTTTTTTTTTGCAGGACCAGGGATTGAACTCAGGCCCTTGCGCTTGCCAGGGAAGCGCTTACTCTACTAAGCCATCTCCCCAACCCCAAAAATCCTTTCTTTTGAGATATAATTTACATACTGCAATGTTCACTCTTTTGTTGACTGCAATTCAGTGGTTTCTTTTACATTCAAACTATATCATTTTTACTATGTAACTTCAGAGTATTTTCACCACCCCTGACAACGGACCCATTCATAGTCATTCCCCACCCACGCAGACAACACTAACCTGGTGTGCTTGGTCCCCAGCACCTGCCTGTTCTGAACTTTTCCCATAGACAGAAGCACGCTGTATGTGGTCTTTTGTGCTCGGCTTTATCCTTCACTTTTGATGAGTCCTTACAATTCTGAGAAAGAAATCTCCGCACTTGCACGTCTGGCTCGTTTCCTTTCCCCATAGCAGCCCTGTGCTCCAGGGTTGGAGACCCACTTCTCACCAGATAAGAAATGTTCAACGGGGTAAAGTGGTGGTGAGAGACAGCACAGGCCACTTGGGCACAGGATACGATGAGCAACACCAACACGCAGCAAACATTACTTAAAAGTACTTTTTTTCTTTTTTATTTAACTTTAATTTCTGAGGTAAAATACTTTTTTTCTTTCAACTTCCATAACAAAATACAGAGCTATCAGATACCCCTGGAAAAAATATGTATATTATACATATATTTCTATAACATTACATCATATATATAATATATATGCAAAATTTTGAAGACTTTATAGAAAGCGGAACATCTAAAAGGCACTGCACAATGAAGTTAAGATTACTTACATTTTATGTACATATACACACTATTCTGCTTAAGCGGGTAACTAGCTTTCACATGTGAATGTCTCACTCAGAAATCCCTGCATCACAATTTTATAATTCAAAGAATGCCTAAATATTTAAAAACAAATTAGCTGCTAACTCCCCCCCAAGAAGAAACTAAAAATGGAACAGTTCTTGAAAGACTAAATCAACGTTTTCTTTCCAACCACATACAACATGTTCCATTACTGCTTACAAAACAAAAAGCACAAACATAATTATGGAATAAATAAACAAGGGACAAACAGCCAACTGACTCAAACCACTTGGTGAAAAGTGGCGGTTTTAATGCTTCTGAAGATTTCTTGGCCCGCGGGTCACTAGGGTGCAGTCCTTCCCTGAAGTAGTGAGCTGGGTTTAATGCAGTACAGTCTGATCACCAGGATGAAGGAACTTGGTGAACTGTATTTTGTTCCTACCCATCTCTTAGGAGAAAAGGTGAGCTCAGCAAAGCTGGATGTCATTGAGAGATCTCTGCTGTTTTCTTTTCTGTAGCTAGAAAAGCAAACTTTTTCACCAACAAGTTCTTGATTAAATTTCAACAGATTTATATTTTTAAAATTTTAAACATTTGGCACAGCAAAATTCAGAAAAAATGTGGGAGACAAAGTAGATTCACTTTTTGCGCCTCCCTCCCCCCTACCCCCACCTGCTGTTGGACAGTGATGAGATGCTCATGGAAGAGAAAGGCCTGGTTTTACACCAGTTGACAGGTGCTGCTAGGAGTGGGCTGGGGGAGAAAAACTCTCTTTTGCCCCAAGAAGAGTCAAAGGTCGTTTGACATGCTCTGGTCCACCTGCTGAGCAATCCCAAGTGTGGCTCTGTGTGAAGACCCCTCCTCCCAGCCCTACTCCAGTGCAGATCAACCGACAATTACTAGTGGAATGCAATCAAAAGAAACTTACAGATCGATTTCTTAAAGCCAAAAAACATTTTTCATGGAGTTGAACATTTTTTGAGTGTTTTTTCAAGTGTAAAAGCACTGACTTTTTTGTTCAAACAGAAGCAGCATCTAGGAATTTATTCTGGCACTTGTGTTTTAGGGGGTTACAGGTATGTATCATGAATTTCTCTCCCTCTCTTATTTTAAAGGCCTCGTGTTTCTATTCCTGAGTTCATACCGACACCTGCTGGCTCTATCCTGTAGAGGGTAGTGGGTGGCCAGCTGGTCTCCCTGGTTAGATCAGGCAATGCCAAGCAGAGAGCTCTCCTCTACCTGCCAGGCTTGCTTTCTGATTCAGAGGTAAGTCAGGTGCAAAAAGGAAACTGACAGAACCACAACCACCAAAGGCAGCCTACCTGGGGAGTCTTTTGCAGCCTGACCCAAGCCTGAGTCTTTAGGGACCACCGTCTCAGTCCCTTTCCTGGGGAAAGATGAGTCACTCATGGAATTTGGATCAAACAAGGGGGAGGACACCTGCCAAGAAATAGCACGATGGACTCAAGTCATCCCAGATCATCCAATGTCTGTCTCACCTGCTTTTACCTTCCTGAGCTCTTCTCTCATGCATGTAGTCCAGTTAAAACTAAAACCAAAAACTACCTCCACTATTAAAGGATAACCCTCAAATATTACTTACATAGAGTTCTCTGAATTTTTTTTGGTACCAGGGATCTAACTCAGGACCTCGTGCTTGCCAGGCAGGCGCTTATGTTGCTGAGCTATCTCCCCAGTCCTATATAAAGTTCTCCCAAGCCAAGGTGAAGCCAGGAATTTCTCTAACCCCTAGACACCACTCTTGTCTCCCCTTGCCCTCAAAAGATATGCAACTTCTCTCCTGCTGTACTGCTGCTAGGCAGGTCTGAGACACAGGTATCTCCACATGCTATGCACTTGGGAGGCTCACAAGCACTCACACACAGAAGTGGGAGGCTATCGCTTCTCTGCTCAAGTCCTAGTCCTTTATTATTTTTATTTATTTATTTATTTTTTGGCGGAACCAGGGATTGAACTCAGGCCCTCGTGCTTGCCAGGGAAGCACTTATTCCACTGAGCCATCTCCCCGGCCCCTAGTCTTTTACTTCATATTAAAATCCATACTTTTCTACTTCTTTGAAGTTGCTAGAAGGGATTTTCCCATGAACAAATAATTTATCACTGTTTGTTAACTGGAGTCTTGTGCAAGACTGTCAACTACTCAGGACACTGGACAATCTGGGCAAACAGGGATGGCAAAAATGGCACCCCCTCAACAGGACACCACCTCCTTCACGTATACCAGGCCTCTCGGCATTTGGTGCCTTCTTCTTACCTCTTCCTGCAAGGCTCACAAACACCCACTTGTTCCCCCAGTATCTTCTGTTTCCCAGTTTCACTGGCCTGTAGCTCCCACAATCTCATCCTTTTGCTACCTATCCCAGGAATATCAAGAGGGAAAGACTAAGTATCAGCTAGGAGTTTAACCATGTCTCAGCATTCCAGGATTATCTGGAAAGTTGTCCATGCCTTGTTTAGGCTTATGCTGACAGACCCGTATCATCTTGAAGTATGTTCATAGTTAAGGCTCGACTTAAGAAAACAATAAAGAGAACCAGACACAATGGACAGACATCTTCAACAACACTGTCACGCCTCTCGACGAACCTTCTCGGTCACACTTTGGTTTGGCTCCCCAAACCCATAATGGAAAAGGAAAAATGAAGATTTTTTTTTTCATTTGTTTTTAAAGGCATTGGGTTACTTCCTCCTGCCCTCTTTTTTTCTTCCCTGAACAAGAGTTTATAACTCCGCATGGCTTCTTAATAGGTGAAGTAGGTGAAAGTCCAAGGACAGACAGCAGGCTTCCCGCCTCGGCCCTGCAGCCCAGAGTGCAGCTCCTGGGTCTTCCCACCCAGCTGTAATCAGCAGGATGCCCTTGTGTCCTGTTTTCTTTTTAAGGTAAGGAATAATTCCAAACAACAAAAGAAGTAAAAAAAGAAAAAAGACCAACATCTGAATAGCCAGCCCCCCCCCCCAATTAATTATAAAGAAACATTTCAGGCAAAATAGCATTAATGGCCTCTCACTGCTAACCTCTCAACCATGACCTTTTTCCCTTTTATGTACCTCTCTCAGAGCAAAATAAACTCATTAATGGCTTTTTATATATAAATACAAAAGGAAAGTCTAGAACATGAACTATCACAAGAGCAAAGTACCTGGGCCCTCTAGGCATTTCCTTGCCAGGAAGTATAAACCTCAAATAGGAAACAGGTTCCTTCCCCTTTCAGTTCAATACCCTCCCTGTGTCCTACTCACCAGGAAAAGTGTTCACGCCCCACCTAATTTACAACAGAAGATACCCATCCCATCCCCAACGTAAAGTACAAGTCTATGCCCCAGAATGCTCAAACCAGGCTAACTCCCTCCCCCCTCCCCCCAGATCTGCTACATAAATACATGTATGTATTTAATTAGAATAGAAATAGCTCTCAACACACTTGCAGTTCTATGCATCAGCGGCTGCTGCTGCCAGGCCCTGGGGTCCTGATCCATTCCAGAGGAACTTGCCGTTCTTACTTGGTGGTTCTCGAGCTTCAGGGTCATCATTCCAGCGCCGTTTCAACCGAAGCTTGGGGGGCATCAGAGCATCTTCTTTCTTCTCAGGAGCACTGGGCTCTTTGCTAGACCTGTCCTCACTGTCTTCAGTCACCTCAAGGGGTTCTTCGCTTGGGGTGCTAATAGGTACAGAGGGCCAGGCGGGCGCGGTGGTGGGGCAGGCAAAGATGGTGCCTTTCCCCTCTTCTGTGGTCCTGCTCAGCACTGCACTCTCTTCTTGAGAGTGTTCCTCCCTTGCACGGGCTGATTGCCTGAGGCTCTCGGGATCCTTCTCAGAGGTGGGCTCAACCTTAATTCGTGGCAGCACAGGTGCCATGGTGGGTGCAGGCTCCTCGCTGTTCTCTACCCTTTCCCGGTTCTTGCGCCCAACAGGTGGAGGCTGCAGCTTGATAGAAAACTGAGTTGACTCCTCAGGATGCATTTGGCATTGCAACGGTGGGACCATGAGCCCTGGGTAGCGGGGAAAAGTCCGAGGACTCAGATGGTAGTTGAAAACTGAACAGGCTTGAGAATGAAGGTAGTGTTTCATTTCCTCTGGGTTGAATGAGAAGCAACTGTTGCTGGTGAAAGGGCTCAGGCCTGGTGAAGGGCTATAGGAGAAGATTGTAGGAGTCAGGGAAAGGGCTGGCGAAATGGGGACGTTAAGGACACCTCCTCGGCCAGGGAGTGGAGAGACAGCAAAGGGACTGTGTGGGTCAGGGTATATCCCTGGTCTTGTGAAAAGAGGAAGCATTATGTCAGGCTTGCGTTTCTGGTGGCCAATCCCTCCTCCTCCGACCGCATTCCGGGAGGACATGAGATCAACACCCCGGCGCCAGTCAGCAGTGGGGCCATCCTCCAGCTCTGAAAGCTCCACCTTCCTATCAGTGCCATTGCTGGACTCCTGGCCAGATGTAGTCAAGGAGCTGGCTGAGAACCTCCCTGGCTGCACTTCACTGGTTGGAGAGTGGGTATCCAGAGGTGGGAAGTGGAAGCGGGAGGATGCAGTTGGCACTGGTGGCGCACTCTGAGGAACCACACCTGTGATGGTGGAGAAGACAAGAGCTGTGTTGGAGGTCTAGTCACTCACTGTCACCAGTTACTGACACCATGCTGAGTAGCAACAAGACGCAACAGGACTAAATCCCACATTTCCCCTTCTACTCAGTTGAGTGGCTATCTTATACCTGTGTCTCCAGAATGTTCCTTACTGCCCATAATAGCATTTAATTGTTTTCCAGTACTCTGAAACATACATTTTACCAGGTAGGGACCTGCTATGGTTCACTACTATATTCTCAGCACTTCATGATTTGTCAGGGGCTGAATAAGTATTAGGTGAATAAATGCATGGATACAAGAGCCTTTTCCTCTCAATTCTAAATAATTTAGCAGCTATCTCAATTTCAGTTTTGCAAACGGTCTTTATTTTTATAATTTCAGCCATATGTATAAAAAAAATTTGGAAACAGCAAGCATATAAAGTAGTGCATTCAATACTGAAAGACCCAGTACCTCGCATACAGACATGAGCTAGCGAAGTAATAAAAAGGACTATATTTGTTCTTATGGTGTCTTATCATTTTTGATATATCAGAGATTCAAATATTTTCCAAACTCTCTAAATCTATATTTCCCTAACAAATTTTCTGTAATGATTTCCATCCTCTTTCTACTTTCAAGCACTGAGGCTAGAAGAAAATCCAGTACCTCCTTTTCTCTGTCCTAAGTACAAATGCTAAAACTTGATGCTCTATGCAGAAATTAACACTGTACTAAACACACAGTTTTGAGAGGCTCACAAACTTTCAGCTTCCCCTAAAGGTCCTAAGTAAGACCCAAGGACGGTTTGCAATCTTAGGTCTCAGGACCTGAGAGATCCATCAGTGGGGTCTACGGTGATGCTGACAGAGGTTTCATTTTTACTCTCTAAGGAACAGATGAGAAGGAAAAACAAACAGTATAGTGGTATAAGAGTGAAGAAAGGGCTGGGGAGATGGCTCAGTAGAATAAGTGCTTGCCTGGCAAGTACAAGGTCCTGAGTTCAATCCCCGGCACCACAACCACAAAAAGTGAAGAAAAGCAAGCAAGTATGGCTAGGAATTGCTTCTGAGTAGCTACTACCTTCTGCTTGTAGTACTGCAGTCATCCTCTGATAGACTCTGGAGTTGGGTGGGATGTGTAAGCATGGCTATCTGGGTACATGTGACTGACACTGCCAGAAACACTTCCCAAACTGCTGTTCCACAGAAAACTCCTCAGCAAGACTTTTTAAAAAAGCCCCATGATTTAATTTCAACTCAAAAATAGATGGGTGGGCCTGTGTATCTTATGAGTAGAGGTAAGAGTTCCTGGGTGAAGACTTTTCTCAATGTATTACAGCAATTAAAATTTTTTCATTTTAATTCTTTTGGCTCCTTGACTTTTTAATTAAGACCATATCCAGTTAAAGCCCTCTTATGTATTGTGAGGGACAGAATAAAGTTTAATGAGGAAGGGCGGCCAAGTCTGGTGTCCTAAGCAATTTAAAGAAACTGCTTAAATCAAGGTAATCATTCTTTGTTTAAAGCAGTATGTACTGGGTCTTGACAATATTAAAGCACACTGTGAATCAGTGAGGAAGAATGATACACATCATTTCCAAATGCATCTACGTGGGGCAAAGGAAGGTGAGGTGAGGGTAGTACAGGGAAGGTAGCACTCTGCCCCTTCCCTCCAATAAGCTGGAATTGCCTCACTTTTAGATGTTACCGTGAGATATCAAGTCTAAGATTTGCTCCAAGAGTTTCGTCCCCAGGTTTGAATACTATTGTTCTGAAAGGAGACTTCCTTCTTGAAGCCATCATGAGCTCCCAGTGGTGGTGTTGGACAGTCTGGGTGTGAATCACAGAGCTGGTACCTCCTACCCTGTAGTCAGTGCAAGTTAGAAAATGGAGCTTTCAATCACCTACTGGCAAAAGTTGAAATAACAAGGGCTTCTGCCTAGGTTCAGCCCTGGCCCTTGGTATGTACCTCTAGACAAGTTACCTCTTTGACCCTGTTTCCTTATTTGTTAAACAGTTAGTAATGATCCTAATGTTATAAAGAATAAATGGCTATACTGAAAGCCCTCACAGTGTCCCAACACAGCAAACTGGATATAATTGTTAAAATTCATTTTTATTAGATAATAATATAATTCAACAACCAAAACTTACAAAGGCATGTATCAACTACAGATCACATACTTAGATAATAGTATTAGAGCAATGTTACACTTCCTGGGTACGGTAAGGTTACTGTGGTTATGGAAAAGAACGCCCTTGTTCCTGGGAGATACACGCTGAGGTACATAGGAGTGCAGTGCCATGATGTCTGCAACTTAATCTCAAAGATTTAAAAAGTATATATAAATAGAAAGAGATAAAGCAACGTGGCAACAATGTTAACCATTAGTGACTATACACACCCACACAGAGGCTATGTGGGTGTTCTCTCCTTAATCTGTAGGTTTTAAGTTTTCTGAAATAAAAAACGGGTAGAGGTAGGTAGGGGAAAGGAGGCACAGAGAGGTCTCAAATCCACCCGAGCTAGTCTGCCTGGCCCCTACCCACTGAGAACCATTTTTATTAGTAATCCTCTGCATCCTTCTAATGTTTCATATGCAAATATAAGTATTAAGATATATTTAATAATACATTTGATAGAATGTTTTCAAAGATAAAAATATGCTACTCTATTTAGAAGTACTTTCAACACTATCCAAATGTTAAGTATTTTAACTTTACTTGTGAACAGTAAGTATGACTATAGGGAAAAGAGAGTATTTACCCTTTTACTATATTTATATTTAGCTATACAATTCCCATGTTAAGACATGTTACCATCAATATGTACTTCCTTTCTTTTAAAAAACAAATAGACTGAAACAGTTTCATCATATCAATGAACCATGGAGATAGGATCTAAATCCACAAAGCTCTACTTCTGAGCATTTGCTTTTTTTTTTTTAAATTTTAGGACAGGGTCTATAGGGTCTCACTATGTAGATCTGACTTGTAGTGATCCACCTGTGTTCAGCCTCCTGAAATCTGGGATTATAGGTGCATGCCACCATGCCCAGTCTCAATTGACTGTCTTAGCACACCCCAGGGGTGGGGCTGGCATGGCCTACTGGGGATTGAGCCTGGCCACTGTGTCTGCCTAAGCCGGTACTTTAATCCGCTGAGCTATATGGCCAGCCCTTATATTGTATTAAATCTAGCATAGTATATCTTATCTCTCTTCTAACCTCAAAGAACTCCCCCACCTTTTTTGTCTGTAGAGCTTAACACATTATCTGCTGAACAAATTAATGAATCCCAATGGAGAGGCTGAAATGTGTAATCTATTAAATAAGAGCTAGATTTCAATAGTTCAAACTCTCAAGAATTGTTCTCTTAGAAACTGTTCAACAGGTAACTATTAAACCCAGCCTGATCAATCTTTGTAGTCCTTATCCTTAATTTTATCATTTATAAAGTGATCATAAAAATATACATCTTACTGGCCTACTATGGTCCAATGAGGTTATTTGCCAAACCACTAAGCAAAAGTATATATCGCTATTAGGTAGATGTTCAATGATGATCATCATAAAGTTAACCTTAAAGCTTGGACAACATGAGTAAAAGCTGTCTATAAATAAGAGTCTATAAACTCAATTCTTTAAAGCTATCAGCATTTAGCATGTAAGTGATCAAACAGTATGCCCAAAAGAAATACACACTATTTTGCTTTCCTTATGACTTTCTGATTAAGATCTGAAGGCAACTAGGGATCAGAGTTGGTTCAAAAGCTTTCATGCAGAACATGTGTGCCAGACCACAAGGGTCAGATTTAAGAGAGAAGTTTGACAGAGCAAGTCTAGAACAGTCTAGGCTCCCGTGTCTTGGAATACTACATTACTCCATTCCTCTGACACTCAATTTCAGGTTGTCCAAGTGGCTGTGTTTTTGTTTTGTTTTTTAACTTGAAAAGTATGGGTCAAAGAGGAACAAGATTAGCGAAGCATTTTTGGATGTGAAGTAGCAGGGTAAGAACAACAATACATTTTTCAAAGCTGCTACACTGTCCATCTAAATTCCTAATTTGCACAGGGACACAGGGAAGGGGCAAGAGTGGGAAATACAGGAAATAAGATTTTAGTGGCTAGAACAGGTCTGATTTCCTAATGCTGCTCCCTCCGGCACAAGGAAAGAAAACAGGTTGTAATTAGAGAGATGCATTCCAGTAAGACTTTTTTTTTTTTTTTTTTTTTAAATGCATGCCCCAGGGACAGGAGGGAGTGGCTAGAGAAGAGATGGAACTATAATGATAGCAGTCAAACTGAAACTGCCCTGACTTGTTGTGTGTAGTAATTACATATCTGCAATGGATTTTGGCATTGTATTCTCTTAGCCACACCCCCACTCTAATTTTTCCTTCTCCAAACTTTTCTCTGAAAAGTTGTATCACTACAGAATCGTGATAAGCTTTAACACATGGGGCCACAAAGAGCAATGGTGAACTGGTCAGAAAATAATCTGTTTTTTTCAGCAAGAGAATAATGTTCATCTTTAAAAAAAAAACAAAAAACAAAAAACATAGAATGACAAAGCTTAAGTGATTGCATCTACATCCAGAGAGGCAGTTAAAGTCTGGGAAGAGCAGTGATGGAAAGCTGTAACTCCCAGTTGAGGGGAAGCCCTGGTGCAACTTAAAAGGAACCAAGGCTAAGTAACCCTACAGTTTTGTTCTCTGTGGAGCTACTGGTACAGATCAAAGGCTTTGCTTTTCACTGCAAACATGTGAACCACCCCTTATGTGATCAAGGGTGCTGTGGTTTTCATGATATTCACTAGATAAGTGAGAGTTTGATAGTTTCACAGAAAGTCGGAAGTATTTGTAGAAACAGGTTCTTCTCTATCAAGAGCTAGGTACTGTATAGCCTATTACTCTCCTTACGTGATGTGCAGAAAGACTGGAGGAAGAATACTGAGGTGACTCAAGGGATCATATTGCTTTCATGTTTCTAAACTCTTTTTTTTTTCTTGCAGAACCGGGGATTGAACTTAGGCCCCTTGCGCTTGCCAGGGAAGCACTTACTCCATGAACCATCTCTCCAGTCCCCTTCTAAACCCTTTAAACCACCACAAGTTTCACTTTTTTTTAGTGATACTGTAGACTGAACTCAAGGTTTTCAAACTGAGCTACATCTCCAGCTCTTTTTCTTTTGGGACAGGGTCCTTTCGGGTTGCACAAGCTGGGTTCAAATTTTGACCCTCTAGTTTCAACCTCCCAAATCCGTTTTTTTAAAAAAAAATTATTTATTTATTTATTTATTTATTTATTTATGTGTGTGTGTGTGTGTGTGTGGCCAGCTCAGCCCACCAGGGGGCAGGGCTGGTTGGCATGTGGTGCTGGGGGATTGAACGGTGGTCCCTGTGCTTTGCTAAGCTTGTTCTAAGTAGGTGCTTTAGACCACTGAGCCATCTCACCAGCCCATCTCTGTTGTTTTTTAAAAATTCTCCCCTTGGCAAGTTTCCCCTCTCCTTTTTTGTGTGCAAGGGATTGAACCCAAGGTCATGCCAGGCAAGCATTTTACCACTGAGCTATATCAAACCATTAAAATTAATTTTAAACTCAAACTTCCCTTTTAACAAAAGGAATTTGAAACTTACCACCTGATCGAATGTTGATAAATGGGTAGTTGGGCATCACCAACTTGTTAAAGTTAAATTTGTAAGTAAACCTTTTCCCTTTTGTTTTATGAAGGATCCTCTTGTTGTAATAGTATCTGTAAAAAGAGGAACACATGTCAATTTATCTTCTAGCAACTCAGCTTTTGGTATACGTAGGTAATCAGTAACACCAATAGTTCTTGTTTTAAGTATTGCTTGCAAACATCACCACCACTTTTTACAGTCTGGTTCCCAAGTTAGGGCTGACAGCTTACTTCCCTCATTCAATTTTCAGCTAGGCTTGAGTCTTTGGCTAGAGTTCTACAAAGGTATCTTTGCTTTAAGATCCTGAACACCTAACCTAGCTCTAACCACTTTTTCTCTATATATAATTTCAATTCTTTGGTTCACTTCCTTCCTGTTCAACTCTATGTCACTAACTGCCTAGTTTCTTTCAGTTTTGCCCAGGCAGAGGCAGACAAGTCTCTTGGGAGGACTGATGTGCAAGGCAAAAAACAAAGGAATACAGAGCTGTTTTATAGTGGCCAGAGAGAAAATGCTATACTCTGATCTGGAAACTTGGCCTGCTTCAACTTCAAAGACTCAAAAGGACCTAGAAGATTCCAGAAAAATACTGCACAGACATTACATTCAGGGTCACTAAGAATGAAGACAGGGAAATGTGATGAATCTAGAACCTCTAGCCTGGCTTCTGCTATGTAGACAGGTCATGAGGTATCTGCTAGCCCTTGTGAACTAAAGGGTTAAGAAATTTAAAGACTGACCAAGGGAAGAGAACTTGAGGAAACTCATGGGATCCATCTTTAGCCATGCTGAAGCAACCCATGGGTGATAACCAAGCTCACAGGCACAGCTCTGGAGTAGCTCTTCAGCACCATTCAGAAAGCCTTCTTCCTGTGCTTGCTTCATCCTTTTCTAGCTTCTCCCAGGGGTATCCAAGTGAGAGAAATTCCAACAAACTCCCAACAGGAAAGTCTACATGAATCCCCTGCACTGTAAATGAGCGCCAAGCCCTGTTTCACCATACACTCATGCCTACTGCAGAGCAGTCAGCTGTCTGTCAGGACTCAGTACCAGCCATGCTGGAATTCCCTCCTACATGTAACCAAAGATACGCCTTTTCTTCTTCTATGCCTGTGCTACTAGAATACAGCAGATTTTCAACTCCCACTTTATATCTACATATTACTCACTTAGAGTAGTTTCTTATCACCTAATACTCTTCTAATCTAACATTCAGGAAACTGTAGTTTCCTTCTAATCTATTAACACCACAGGTTGAGAATTCCTTTCTCTCACCTGAGGGCCCGGCTGAGCTTGTCATAATTCATCTGTGGTTTGCATTTCCTGCGGCCCCAGAGGCGGGCCACCTCATCTGGATCCTTGATGACAAACTCCCCATACTCTCCCTGCTGCCAGGCAATGACATGGCGGAACTCTTCCTTCTGCAGCAGTTCCAGGATGAAGTGCCACAGCTGGATCTGCCGGGAGCCTGGGGAGGATTCTGTTTTGTACGCCCAGTCAGGAAACTGATACCCTTTAATGTGAAAAGAGCAAGATCAAAGTAGTCAGGAGCAAGGTGCACACATACCAGCCCTCACCTGCACATTCCACTGCTTACAAACTCTTAAAGAGTGCTTTGCAAACATGCCACAGATGCCCTTTTAATCAGCTGGGGCTAACCACAACAGGGGCAAAAAGGCCAGGACTTAAACTATCCTTGTGGCAATCTGACAGCTGGGCAGCAGCGCCCAGGTGCCCTAATTGCCTACTCTTTCATACATCACTAAATTTCACTTATCCACCCCTGACCCTGTGGTTGTTCTGGGCTGAACCCAAGGCCTCTCACATGATAGGCAAGTACTATACCACTAAGTCATGTTCCCAACTCTCACACCTGCTTTCAATGAAGGTGTGAAAGTTCCAAAGGGGACAAACAGGCTAAGCTAAACTAGTGTTTCGAAAAACATAGCTGAAAATGCCTATTCTCAAGGTTAGAAGTATGTCTCTAACAGGAAAGAGTCTAAAATATGGGATAAAGGTGTGTTGACTGGACAGTTAAAACATATCCACAGGAAACAAGCTTATCGATAGGTCTCAGCAAGATTTGCTCAGTCAAGAGGCTGTCAGTTATGACCCAGCATTTGTTAACAAAGCTAGAGTGGAAAGGACAGGAAGCATACAGGGACATTCCAGGCATAACTTCTGCTCACCTCCACCTCCTTCTGGCTTTTCCACGATGCTACAGCCCGCTTTCATTTTTGCCTTCCTGCTGAGAGATACAAGTCACACAATTACTTCAAGATACTATTTATTTACTATACTCCTGAGGTTTTTTTTTGGCATAACCTTTCCCCAACTTTACTTCTACATACAGTCCTCTATCTCTCAAACATGTCACCTCCAAACTGCCAATTCCCAAGTCATCAAATGATGGTCCTCAGGTCATCAGCTTCAAAAGCTGTAATTATCTCTCACCTGACTTCAAACCATAAAGTGTAAAGACTATTCTTAATATTTGCTTTCTTCCTAACCAACCCTTAAATGTAAAAAAAAAAAAAAAAAGGTACAGTAAAACAAGTCCAAAAAGGCAGTCAAAACAAGTCAAATAGTTTGTGTTTTCTTGCTAGACCAGCCTAGATGCCAAGATACACACGCTTGAGTCCACCCAGATGCACCAGTTTAAAAAAGAGTGAAAAAACCCATATCCATCTGAAAACCCATATCCATCTGATTTCCACTTAAGACATGTGGTATTATTTTGCTGAATTATGTGAGATACAGAAGAAAAACTCCTAGTCAGAAAATGCCCCCCACCCCAAGGGATACAAGAAGTAAACACATCACATAAGGTCATTCTGTAAAAGACACACACACACACACACACACATACACATACACACACACAAATTTTTTTGTTTAGGAAAAATTTTACATGTTATCCCTGTAATGGGGTGAGGGGTCAGATATGAATTTCTGGGGCCCTTCCAGCCCACCAGTCGAGGGAATCTTGCTACAATTAAGTTCATCCATGCATATTTATGGTTCCTTAATAAATTTTCTCTTCCCAGAAGCAAGCAGCTTTGTATCAGTCTTTTAGCAAAGGTGTGTGTGTCTCTGTGTGTAACTGCCAGTGTGATGGGGATAAGAGAGGGCAGAACTACCCTTATTGCTCCCGAGTAGAGGACTGGCCCTCAGCACCCACATCAGCAAGAGGCTGGAGGGAAGGTAGGTACCTCAGTGGCCCCAGGGTTGGGAGGGGACAAATTCCTAATCTTGGAAATTTCATCTAACCTCCAGAGTCTTTGAATTTTCTTTCTCACTGTACACATTCAAGAGTCCAGTAAGTTTCAGTCTAGAAACCTACCAGACGTTAAGAAGATAAATTACTCAAAGGAAGGCGAAAACAAACATAGAGTCTCAGTCTGTCTGTCTGTCTGTCTGTCTGTCTGTCTCTCTCTCTCTCTCTCTCTCTCTCTCTCTCACACACACACACACACACACACACACACACACACACACACGATATACAACAAGGCACCAAGGCTGCGTCAGGAGCTTCCTGTCATTTCCGTGACAATAAGAGAGGAAAAACACTCATTTCCCTACAGCTCCAGGAAGCTGCCCAGGACTCGAACTCCTAGCTTGCTCTGCCAGGTTTCGGGGCTTTTTCCCCGCCACAGGAATACCCTTCAACCCGCTGCGGCGACGATCTGATCTAGAAACCCTCTCTGGATACTCCAGGTTCCCACGGAACTCCAGCTCTTGAAGCCTAGGAACGCTTGCGGGGTTTCCGTAATTCAAGAGGAGGACGCGCTGTCCAAACAGGGGCCCCCAGACTCCGCACGCCTCGCTCCTGCCCTCCCGCGGGTCGCGACCCTTCCCCGAGAGCGGGGCGTGCAGTCGGGCGCGGTGGACCGCGCAGCAGTCCCGGGGCTTCGCCGCCCTCGCCTCCCGACGGGCCTGCCTCAGGCTCCGCGGGCCACCGCAAGACGCCGCCTGGGTCCCTGCCCTGCAGACGCGGCCCCCGCCCTCCAGAGCGGAGGAGGCCCGGGCCGCGGGCGGCACGAGCTCTGGACGCCGTCCGCGTCAGGGGTCCCGGCGGCGCCCCCGGGCCCGGCGGCCGGGCGAGGCGGGGACTCACCGCTGCCCGGCTCGGTCGGCGTTCGGTCGGGTCTCCTCCGCGGCGTCTCCGGCTCCTCCTCATCCACCCCAGCAGGAAGTGACCTCCGCTGCAGCTGTCGTCACTTCCATCCTCCAGCGAGGGTGGGGAGGAGGCGGCGCCCCCAGCGGGATCCCAGCCGCGCCGCGCCGCGCCTCACCGCGGCTGTCTTTCCTTTCTCTTCTCCGCAGACAGCGACTTCCGCCCGCACTCCGCCCCGCGCCTCCTCCCGCCGCACGCTCCGCGCCCCGCACCCCACACTGGTGGCGCATGCGTCACGCGGTCGGGGCACGTCACGCACGCTCGCGGGCTCGTCATGCACGGGGGCGGGCCCTGGCCGCCAGAGCGCGCCGGGTGGTGTGAGGCGCTGTGGGCCTGCGGGGTGTTTCGGCGTGATGGGGCATTCCGCGCGGGCGGGGCTGTCGCAGACCCCGGGAAGGCTCGGCAGGGAGGGCGGCCGCGGCTCGCGGGAGGAGCTCTGCGGCCTTCCACAGGAGGCCCCTGCGGCGAGAAGGAAGACCCGCGTGCGACGCGGCGCTCTGCCCCCGGCCGCAGGCCCTTTCACACACTTAGGAGAGGCACCCGCGGCGTCTGCCTTGCACGTGGCTCTGCGGGACCTCCCTGTGTACGCCCGGAGGTGGCCTCGCCTCCCTGCCGTTCGCGAGCACTCTGCGTTTAAGTCTTAATTTGTCCTGGTCCTAGCGTCTAGCATTTCTTTCCTTAAATCTTTCAAACGCATCTCTCATTTCCTTTATCTTTTGTTTTCTTGAGTACCTAAGATATCGTGGTGAAACATTTCTTCTACTTTTAAGGTTTAGCAATAAAAGATCTCCAGCCGTTCAACTTTTATCTTAAAGTTATACCTCTACCCCTGTAAATCCTTTGCAGTGGTGTGTAGGTATACTTTTCAATCCGGAGGGTGGGGTTTAGTAAAGGTTCAATGGGAATAAAAGCATGGGGCAAGCGGCGATAAGAGGTAAAATGAAGGAAAACTGACCGTCAGTTGTCATCAAAACTTTGCCCTAACAGTGCCTTTCTAGTCTGTCTGCCACGTAGAAAATAAACATCATCATTAGTTGTTAGAAAAGTTGGTTTCCAGTCTTGGACTTGCTGCTAGCTATTTGCTAGGTGTTGATAAAGTGATAGTACATTGGTCTGTTCTGGCCTGAAGTTGCTTTACCTGTTTAAGATAGAAGGAAGACTAGCACTGGTGATACAAGGTCTTTTCTAGTTAGAAATCTTACTATATAAGGAAATAAGCAATAAGCAATTAAATGCCTTTGAGAGGATTATGGATCTAAGCATAATCCATGAGCCCTTTCAGTGTGGAAACCATCTGATAGGTTCTGGCCCTAGTATGCATTGTTGCGTTATTATAGTGGTCATCTAATATGGCTGAAGCCCTTAAAACAACAGCTTATCTTCCCAGAGACTACCTCCTCCCTTCTCCAACTCAGCCCAGGGTGCAATTTCCTTTTATCTTTCCCCCATCTCAGGGAAGACTCCCAATCAGCTCCTCAGGTATATCTAAACATCCCCCTCAAACTCCCCACCCCCCACAAAGACCATGAAAACCCCAGCCTCCCTTTGTTCCACTTCAGAGAATCTCCTATCTTCCTCAGATTCTCTCCCTGTCCTCCAAGATAATAAAGCCCTTTCCCCTTTTTCCTTCTGCCTGTTTTCTCTGCTGCAACACCACTGAAAACCTATCACCATCTACATATCTTCTATCTTCTGTAGTACCTAAAACAATGTCTTAAATGTCAGATGTTTGGTTGAGTGGACCCAAAAATGTTTATATTTAGGTCCTCGTTCTTCGATTAAGGCTTTGTGATCTTGGTTACTTTTGTGTTAGTTCCTCATCTGCCTAAATGAAATAGCTATGGAATCTACCTGTCCACATAGGTGTCTGTGGATAGCTCATTGTATCATAGACATTGTAGGTATTTTATATTAAATGTGTTGATACATACAGAAGTTTAGAGCAAAAAAAAAAAAGGTGCATTGTAGATGTGGCAGATGCATAAATGCTGACACAATTAAGCACAAGAACCATAGAATTCTCAAATCCTCATATCACCCATACAAATCTTAGTAGCTGTTGTCCCAAGAACCAGGATGCACAGGAATGGAATAAACAGCTCCCCGGGAAAGTCTGAAATTGCTAATCTTTTGGCCAGAAGCCCAAATGGCCATGACTGGAGCCAGCCCTGTCAACCTCAAGGACCCTGTATTCCTCAAAGGGTGGGGAACCAGCCTATCCCGACTCTGCATGTATTTACCCAGTCCAATTTCCTTGTGGTTCTTTGCTGCTACTACTCTAATTAGGGCCACAAAGGATGACTTGAGAGTAAACACAGTTAACAGAGATAAACAGATCTCTCTACTTGGCTGGTGTCTGATTGATATTGGGAAGTGTTTATATCCAAGCAAGGTCAAAGGAGTTTTTACATTAAGAATCTATCTAATCACTGGTCTGAAACTCAACAGATAAATTTGGGTTTGATAAACTGGAACCTCCCTCTCTCTGGGAGAATGAAACGTGGGCTGGAAACCTCTCACATGGTGGCAGAACCTGAGGAGCTTGGCATGGCTGGGGAAGTTCAGCTTCCCTGAAATTCCCGTCCACTTTCCCGGTCACCATAGGCTATTGCTGTCTCCATGTGCTGCACACAGGCCCACAGGCTTTTACAGGTGGGAGAGCCTTTGAAATTGGAAAGCCCAGGGAGGGTAGTGCTGGCCCCACCCCCGGAAAGAACTGGGACTGCACCTGACTGAGACTGGGTGTGGTGGCCCATCTGTCA